GAGATTCGGGTACACCTGTAAGTATGCATTGTTGTTTGTGTATTTATGATGTTTAAAACAAACAAGGTATCTACCACGACTGTTTAAATGGGTAAATGTTTTTTGGGCTGCTAAGCCATTGACACAGTGCTAACTGGGCTAACTAAGTTGCTAGCGTTTCCATATATCAACTCCAATGTCAGTAGATGGCCTTACATGTATCTCATAGCAGGAGAATGTCTGCATTCACACACAAAATAATCATAGACAGTATACTTCGGGTGATTTACCGTACGGTCAGTCGCGAAACTTAGTTACATTATAGTTGGCGTTCCTAGCGTGTATGCTACCGAGCTAAACAAGAAGGCTACCAAGAGCTAGACATACTAGGGAAAACATTGTTTTTATGCCAGCTACAATGAATGACCAAACGTAGCAGACTACCCGTATAAGATTGCAATTGTAAACATGTTCTTGCTAGCCTAATATGAACGACTAGCTGTTGTTCATAGTAGGTTGGCATATTACACTGAACAACTAGCAAACGTAGGTTAGCATATTAATCTAGCTGGCAAGCTAACGAACCTAAAACAACTACATTTCTCTAATATTTTGTGATTTGCATTTGATTTGGTCCAGCCAGATCAGGAAACTCCTGGCGTATCCGGCGGACAACACATGACGGGATGAACACTCTGATGCCTCGTCCTAAAAAGCCCCGGCACCAGCTTACAAAGCTTCGATAGACAAGATGCCGAAAACGCCTATAAGGGGAGGAATGGATGATATACAGTGTATATATGTATATTTACACATGTTCATTTTGTACATTTCTAAAAATAAAGTTGGATGGAAATACTTAGTAGCCTTTCTTCCCTGAATTATTTGCTCCTATAACATATCATTGTTGATGTTCCGCTCAGAGCCGAAAAAAGCACTGTGTTAGACATGGGCGGAGCCTCCCTGGTGGTTAACTAATCAGAACAGAGTGGCCGAGCTGACCAATCGGAGCACACTGGGCTCACAGGGTGGTGGGGGCAGGAGCTCCAACAAGCCGTTTAGGACAGAGAGTGAATACACATACTATACAGAGATGCTGGATGAGAAACCAATGTGAGTTTGGAAAATTGCACAATATAAATCTATTCTAGTATACCTCAACAACGGAATTATGATCAGTAGAAATGGCCATGACATGGGCCCTTTAATATAACCCAACTTGTATGAAGACAAAAATGACTGTCTTTTGTATAATAATATGTATCTCCTGTTTTGTGCACAGTAACTTGGGTATTTGTTTATTATTAGGAGTTTAGCAGAATACCATTACTGTGTGTGCACTGCCCTCAAGTGACCAAAGGCAAAAACTGCACCCATTTCAGAAAACAAATATATCATTACAACTATATTTTATTTTGATATAACAACAACTAAAAGTGAATCTTAACAGCCGAACGATACCCAAACACGAGTATGACTAAAGAAGCCAAATAAAAGTTTGCTCAGGAATATTATTGATTATTCTTTAAGATAAGATATAACTTAATAAACCCCCAAATAAATGATTCCTTCAGAGATTGCTTGAAAATGAAAAACACAGCATCAGAAAGGAAAACAATAAATCAAAAGTGTACAATGAGTTATATACTGTGTTACATGAGCAGCAGTGTGTTTAGGGATTAAACATTGAATAAAGTACAGTCTTAATAAAATCCCAAAATAAACAGCACATTTTAAAATATAAACATTTCAATAGAGTCACAATAAAGGTGAGCGAAATGTCGTAGAAATAAGAAACTATAGAAAGTAATAATGATCACAATATTTAAGGTATATATGGGCGGCTGTGGCTCAGTGGATAGAGTGCTGGACTTCGAATCAGGGGGTAGCAAGTTTGCAGTCAGCATGTCGTTGTGTCCCTGAGACACTTCACCCCAAATTGCTCCTATGGGGATTGTCCACAGTACTGAATGTATGTAAGTCGCTTTGGATAAAAACGTCTAACAAATGACACGTAAAGGTAGTATTTGGACATACAAATAATTATGATTTTTTTGCCATATGTGCATTTTCCCCTTAATATAAAGTTGTTGTTTTTTCTGTTTTTGTTTTAACCATGAAATGAATAAGTTTAGAAATACAAAAATATCCATTCAGTACTTTATTCTACTTTACAATTGCTCTCCCGGTGCTGCTGCAACACACACATTTTAAAGAAAAAGCTTTATCTTGTTGTTTTCAGGAGTAAGAGACAAGTTGACACCTTTCCTGTTAATGGGCTCTCTCACCACTCCCACTTCCCATCCTGTCAGTCCTTTAAGGCAGCGGTTTTCAAAGTGTGAGGCGCGCCTCCCCTGGGGGGCGCCAGAGAGCTTCAGGGGAGGCGCAGCGTGAGAAAAAAATAACGAGAAACAGTGAAATCTAGCTAGTTAACTTCAGCTAACTTTATGCGAGCGGCAACATGGATCGATTTTTAGTGAAGTTACCTAAAGTGAAAGAGGAGACAGCGTCTGGTAGAAAACTTCAGCTTTGTTTTGAAATAAAAGTTGTGGCTCATCAGACATTTATGAGAGAAAATCCCTAATGTCCGAGTGCAAGTGAATGCAGCACAAGACGCGAGCCTTGTAACCCCTCCCCCGGCCCTGGCGCGATCGAGGAAATGTGATTGGCGGCGATTTCCTTTGAACGGGACGGCGCATTCGGACCCCAAGTAGACGGAAGGAATGAGGTATTTGCGGTCTACAATGACAGAGAAGAGACTGTGAAGTGTGGCTGTACTCAGCATTGAATCAAAACGCACTAAAGCTTTAGATCTTAATACGTTTGTGAGGCATTTTGCTGAACAAGATGGTAATCGCCGTATTCAGCTGTTAAAGGCATGCCAACTTGATGCTCACGGATGACTCGATGAGCATAAAACACTGTTAAGATGATGACCTTACGTGTGTAAATATATTTTTTTGTTTGTGGGGGTCTGCCCCCAAAAAACTGTTTTAAGTCCTGAGAAAGTCAAATAAGACGGTGTGTAAAACTACACTGCCCAGCCAAAAAAAAGTAACCACTTTGATTTAACTAGGCCAGTAGGTAAGGGCTTTCCACTGGATAATAATACCCCTGCATTATAGCAGCAACAACAATAATAATAATAATAATAGCAATAATAATTGGGAGGGGGGGCGCGGCTGTTCTTATGTTCTCTGAGGGGATGCTCACCTTCCCACACTTTGAAAACCCCTGCTTTAAGGAATACTTCAAATTAGATTTTACTAGAGCAACATCGCTTATTTCCAAGTACACAAAGAAGCTTCCTTTATTTTTCTGTACAAATGCTCTCCTTGTGCTGCTGCAACGTCCAAATGTCAAAGAAAAAGGGTCATCTTATCTTAAAATCCTCCACCATCATAACAAACCCCAGGATCTTGTCCGACTAGGACGCTCTACTTTCTTTTTCTGTATCTGACACAGAGATGGAGTACTCGAGTCCTGCCGATTTTCGCGACTCGTGACTCGACTCGGACTCGCGCACTGATTGACGCGGACTCGAACTTGGACTTGTGAATTCTCGCGCACGATGACTCGGACTCGACTTGTACATTGACGCTCCGACTTGGACTCGGATTCGAGCAAGTTTTGTCTCGAGTCAGATGTTCTACCAGTCTAAAGATGTCCAGAGACACACCCCGCATCGTGCTGTCTGCTTTCACACATTCTGCTTCCACATTGGAAAAGAGCAGCACAAAATGCTCGTTATGTGGAAAAAAGATTGAAGAGAAGGCTCCGTAATATATTACTCTAAAGGCCGCTACACACCCAGCTGAGACCAAAGAACGCGTACCGAAGGCGTCCCGACTTTTACGTCAGCTTCGTCGCCTGCATCGGCTACGCCGCCCGCTACGCCACCCGCTACGCCGCCCGCCTACGAACACACCGCAAATACTTCAGTCGACGAGTGGCAATAACTGTCCTTACCAGCAGGCAGCGGTAGTGTGAACAGCCAATCAGAGTGATTGCTTGGGCCGACTTTCTCTGACCTCCCGCGGCCGATTCAACATGTTGAAGGAGGCATCGGGAGGTGTGAAGAGGTGCCGTAAAGAGACGACGGTGCGGGGCACACCAACATGAGTAGGGCGCCGCGAATGCCCGACTGCCTCTGACGGCCTCTGACTCCCAAAATCGGGTTGGTGTGTAGCCAGCTTAAGGATCGAGTTCAGACATATAGGCTGTCATATAGGCTGTCTTGAACACTATCATGAGAGTAACGTGATCTAATCAATAAATAAAGATTCAGCCGATCACACGAAAGCACATGGCTACTTAACATGCAGAATGTCTCATTTTGCATGTTAAGTAGCCATGTGCTTTCTGGGGCTTAATCTTTATTGATAGAATTTAAACGTTCACTTGTTGGCTGTTGGACATTGTGATAGAATATTTATTATATTATTAATAAATAATAATAATAATAATAATAATAATAATAATAATAATAATAATAATAATAATAATAATAATAATAATAATAATAATAATATTAAGATTAATATTGGTAATAATCTTTATATTTGTATAGCACCTTTTAGACAATAATTGTAGCCAAACTTGCTTCACAGCAGTTCAATAGACAAATGAGTATAACATGACAGGATAAAAGCAATGTAGAGGAGCAGCTACATTTCAACAAATATATCCACTAAGATTAATACATGAAGACTTGTGACTCGAACTTGACTTGGGTTCTTCTTGGGTTACTTGGACTTAGGTAGTGATGACTCGGACTCGACTCGGACACTCCTTGGGTGACTCGGACTTGGACTTGGACTTGGACTTGACTCTGACTTGGACTCGGACAGTGGGGACTCGAGAGTGACTTGGACTCGTGAATTGGTGACTAGACTACATTACATGTTTCTTGTTAGACACTTTTATCCAAAGCGACTTACATACTCAATACTGTGGCCAATCCCCACAGGAGCATTTTGGGGTGAAGTGTCTTGCCCAGGGACACAACGACATGCTGACTGCAGTGGGGTTTGAACCTGTGCTCCCCTGATCCGAACACCAATGCACTAGTCCACTGCGCCACACGCATCCCACACTGAGCTGACTTTAGTGATCCGTAAAGGAGCGCTCCCTTCCTCAGCGCTGGGTCGGAACAAAGGGTAGATCCTGGTCCTCGCCCAGAACGCTAGTATTTTCCTCAGAAATGATGTACTTTCAAAGACGCACCCTGTAAACGAGTAGATCTGAGCCCTCGTGTCCACGTTGTAGAAAGAGACGAACCCTTTTTCCAAATCCACAAACACCCCGACCTTCTGGAGCTTTTTAATCGAAGGCAAGTGGACCGGAGGATTGGAGTTAGCCTGGCATCGTCCCCAATACAACCCCAACGTCCAGCATCCGTTTTCTGGAGTAAGAGACCAGTTGACACCTTTCCTGTTAATGGACTCTCTCACCACTCCCACTTCCCATCCAGTCAGTCCTTCAAGGGATACTTCGTAGTAGATTTTCCCGGAGGAAAACCCCTCATTCCCAAGGACGAAATGGAGCGAGTCGAACCTTTTAGGGTTGTCACTGATGTTCCTCTTGAAGACTCCATCCCCAACTTGTGTCGCGTCCTCAGAGACGATAAGGGAAGGGTGAGCTGTGTTGGGATCCAAAGTCACTTTTACTGCATGTTGCTCCTGGATCTTCACAAGTTCATCGTCAAACGGGGTTCCTGTTTGCTGTTCTTCAAAGGCCTCCTCTTCCTCATCCCCCTGAAGGACCTCTCTGATAATCTTGTCCATGTGTTCGTTGAGCGTTTCCTCGATTTTAACTCCGGCTCTCCAGACTTTCTCTACTTGCAGGAGACTTTTGCGTTCTGTATAGCAATGCCTTGTGATTAATGCAGAGGGGAGGGGTGGTAGGTTCTGCAGGAGTCCAAATTCATCCTCTGTCTTTAAAGCTTCTTCCATCTTCACACTCGTCTCACGGAGTTCTGCGATCTCCAGCCATAGCTGTCTCTTTAGTGCTTTATCCTTTTGCTCTTCAGCTTCCTGCTTCTCCTCCAAAACCTCCATCAGCTTAGCTCTTTTACTGAGAATCGCGGCAACCACAACAGCAAGGGCCTGGTTCGCTTCCTGCTCCTTCTGCCTACTTTGTGTCATCGAGTAATCCATCCTGAAAACCATGTTGCATTTATCGTTCATAGCGTTGTTAATATGCATTTTTGCGCCCTGCAGAATAGTTTTCCTCGCCTTAAATTCTTCCCCCAAAGAGACGATGTGATGCCCCACATGGTCTTCCTTCAGGCACACGGAACAAAGGCAGCACTGGTCTCTCTTGCAGAAAGACTCCATCACTTTGTTGTGCTTCCTGCAGACCCTTTCCTCGAGGGAATCCACGGGGTTGATCAGCTGGTGCCACTTTAACTTCTGCACGGTGCGATGGGGCTTCAGGTGAGCGTCGCAGTAAGAGGCCACACAAACCAGGCAGGATTTCACAGCCTTGCGCTTCCTATTCCCCTCGCAGAGGTCACAGGGAACGTCTCCAGGCCCGGCCGGGGATCCTCCATCCTCACCTGCTTTTGGAAAATTAAAGAATATTTTTTCATATTTTAAATGTTTTATAAGGTTTCCTTTTTTATATTAAAGCTCACCTATTATGATATATTGGAAAAATATATTATAGGGCCATATCTATACAAAACATGTCTCATTGTTTCTGACGGCAACGTTTCTGATAGGCCCGTGGGTGTAAAGGCCGCCCACATTTGAGTAATGTCGTCATGACGCAGCAAATCTGGATCAGTTCCGTTGATACGCCGTTTTTAGAGATGTGGGCACGGAGGAAAAGAGAGAGGGGTTTATTTTCTGACACTTTGTGAGTCTCCTGACACACCGGGGACACATATTGATGTATAAAAGACATCAGAAAGTGACTTTTGCATAATAGGTGATTTTTGCAAATCCTGACTGTTTAAAGACCTTGTGCTTTTCTTTTTATCAATATAAAAAATAAAAAAAATGTAAGAAAAGAAAATACGTTCTTTGACAAATACCTTTTACAAATTCAGAACATTTTGGGAATTTGAGTCACCTGCTTGTTTGGTCTTCTTGGAAATCTCCAACATGTCTCTGAACTCAGTGTTGACTCTCAGTTTGGGGGCTGTGAGGAAGGTTTCTTTGCACAGCGGACACTGGATGATGGCCCCGGAGCTCCAGTAGCTGCTGATGCAGGCCCGGCAGTAGTTGTGTCCACAGGGAGTGGAAACAGGCTCAGTGAAAACATCCAAACAGATGGAGCACAGAAACTCCTCTGAAATGTTTGCAGAGGCCATTTCTGCAGGGGAAAAGACAGAGGAGAGGGTGGAAGAAATACAAATTGTAAAAAGGTTCTTCTTAACCTGTTAAGCCCTGAGCCTGTTTTTCAGGTTTCAGGCTCGAAAATGCCACTAACACAACAAAGACTATATCTTCACTTCTAAAAGGGGTAAATTCATAATCTTTTTTCTCAAAGCAAGGTTACATCTGTGAGTTGGATGTAGAAGTGTCAGAAATTAATATAGATGTTTTTATTTTAAAATAAATTCATATGGAACATAGTAAAAACATGTAAATTCTATCTCCGCCTAAAAAAAACCCATTACTTATAGTGAAAACCACCCTTGAATGATAGTAGAATAAAAGCAGTAATGCTAAATTACCAAAAATACTCTGTTACAAGTCAAATTACTGCATTCATTCATCTAACTGAAGTGATTATAGTATAGTATAGTATTGGCATACATAAAGTACCAAAAGAGTCCTCTCCTGCTGATGTTCAGGTGTATATTTAGCGTCTCTACTTTAAAGAGTCCTCTCCTGCTGATGTTCAGGTGTATATCAGTATGTAGCGTCTCTACTTTAAAGAGTCCTCTCCTGCTGATGTTCAGGTGTATATCAGTATGTAGTGTCTCTACTTTAAAGAGTCCTCTCCTGCTGATGTTCAGGTGTATATCAGTATGTAGTGTCTCTACTTTAAAGAGTCCTCTCCTGCTGATGTTCAGGTGTATATCAGTATGTAGTGTCTCTACTTTAAAGAGTCCTCTCCTGCTGATGTTCAGGTGTATATCAGTATGTACTGTCTCTACTTTAAAGAGTTTAAAGAGGATCCCTCTCCAGCTGTTTATGTTACTATAGTCGGTTTGGTAAAGTCATACTTGTGAAAGGAGTGGACTGAATTGTTTCATAAATGCTGAACAATGAAAGACATTCATGAGAAGAAGTTTAACCAGTTACACCGGTCACATGCTGACGCACATAGATCTACCTCGCTGCATTCCACATTAGTACAAAGTAAAACATATTAAAAAATGTATTGATTGTGTATTATTGATAATATTGATTATTGAGATGTATTATTTTATTAATATTTATTTTATATATTCAGAAAGAAATGGTTAGAATTCAACACAATTCATTTTCTAAAAACACGAAAGAGATCCTAGAAGACAAAGAGTAATTGCTTTTTTGAATAAATCCAATCCTAAACATTCAATAATTTAAATGAAATGTGTGTAAAGTGATATAAAAAATATCAACATATTTCATATTTTCCCTACGTTTTCTTTTTACAAATAATGAATAATATTCTACATAATAATAAGGAAAAAAAAAAAAGTGTAAGTAAAAACCCCTAGGTGTAGGAGTACTCTGTTACAAGTAAAAGTATTGTATTACGCCCCATTTCAAAATATGACTATATATATTATTGTAGTATAAATATTTGAGAACATACTGCCTGTGTCACGATACTTTGGGGTTATATGTACTCTTGTATCAGTAGCCCACTAATTTACCTCATTTTTTAGCTATCTCATCTACTTCTTGGCTACAAAACAGCTGAAACCCAACAGTTAAAATCCTGTATGTAGCCTCTCTACTTTAAAGAGTCCTCTCCTGCTGATGTTCAGGTGTATATCAGTATGTAGTGTCTCTACTTTAAAGAGTCCTCTCCTGCTGATGTTCAGGTGTATATCAGTATGTAGTGTCTCTACTTTAAAGAGTCCTCTCCTGCTGACGTTCAGGTGTATATCAGTATGTAGTGTCTCTACTTTAAAGAGTCCTCTCCTGCTGATGTTCAGGTGTATATCAGTATGTAGTGTCTCTACTTTAAAGAGTCCTCTCCTGCTGATGTTCAGGTGTGTATCAGTATGTAGTGTCTACATAACAGCTGAAACCTAACAGTTAAAATCCAATAAAAGTTACATAAAGCGTTAGAAGAAGTAAAGAAATCAAAGCTTACCTGTTTTTTGTGTGCAGTGCAAGCTAGAAACACAACTGAACTATCTGAGTGCAGATCTTGTGAATGCAGGACACACCTCTTCTACCTGTGTGAAGAGGTGTGTGGTGTAGTGGGTTGTCCGTAGGTGTTCGGATCAGAGGGTCACAGGTTCAAACCCCACTGCAGTCAGCATGTCGTAAAGAAAGTTGCTTTGGATAAAAGCGTCTAACAAGTAACATGTCATGTAATGTAATGTGTGTGTCTATTCATGTACTTCATCCTTTGTGAGGACCAACCTCCGCTTCAGGTCTTGTTAGGACTTTCAATAAAAAAAACGTCATTATATTTAATTTAAAATATATTTTGTAATGAAAATAAAATGTAAAATCCAAATGCCCTGAATACAAAAAAAAAACAATTATTTATATTCAAGACAATAAATTAAAAAAGTTATAACACTTAAAACTAATATTTTTCAAAAACGAATTTCACATTTTTAGGAATGTATTTCATTTTTGCATTATTCTTATTATTTTTAATTCACTACTTAAATACAGTCATTACAGTTGAATCCAAGAACAAATATTTAGATCCAAATTGAATATTTATTATGAATAAATCAAATTATTAAATAATATTATTTTTTAATTGTATTAAATATATATGTATATAAATATATTTAATTAAAAACGTCATATTTTTACCCGGAGGACGTGTTTTACACTCACGACAATACATTTAGAATTTGTACTTTATTGTTTAATGTTATGCCCGGCTGAACGTAATGTGAAAATAACAAAGGCACCTGATTGGCTGGAGGAAGTTGGAGTTTAAATTATACTCTATTGTGTTATATTGCTGTAAATTATGTAAATAATTCTGCTACCTTATGTCATACTAATTTCATAATTCCTCACCTGTATCTCCAAAACATGTTCAAAAACCTTAGATATCGTGTGTCAACTCCAAGCAATTCAGCCATTTTTAATTATTTTAATTAACTTTATTCATATGAGACCTTTAATACACATTTACAAAGTGCAATCCAATAAAAAGGAACGTATTTTTATGAAGAAATCTCTTTTTTTTGTGCTTTTTGGTAATGTTGGTAATGTTTTTCATGTTATTCTCACCACCTTGATTGAGTGGAAACTAAATATAACCCACCTTGTATGAAAACATTAAATTGGCTGTATAGTAATATTTATCTCCTGTTTTGTGAACAGTAACTTGTGTATTTGTTTATTATTAGGGGTTTAGCAGAACCATTATTGTGTGTGCACTGCCCTCAAGTGACCAAAGGCAAAAACTGCATCCATTTCAGAAAATAAATATATCATTACAACTATATTTTATTTTGATATAACAACAACTAAAAGTGAATCTTAACAGCCGAAGAAAATGGCAAATGATACCCAAACACGAGTATGACTAAAGAAGCCAAATAAAAGTTAGCTGAATAATATTATTGATTATTCTATAAGATAAGATATAACTTAATAAACCCCCCAAATAAATTATTCCTTCAGAGATTGCTCAAAAATCACCAACACAACATCAATAGAGTAAATCAAAAGTGTACAATGAGTTATATACTGTGTTACATGAGCAGCAGTGTGTTTAGGCATTCAATATTGAATAGTCTTAAAATATAAACGTTTCTGACTCAGAGATGGAGTACTCGAGTCCTGGGTTGCGGTCGAATAGTCCATTTAGCTTAGGAACCTTCCTAACGGAGTGAAATGACCCGGAAGTCCCTCAGTGGCAGCCATGATAAGTGCCGTTCCAATTCTCTAAATGAAAGAAAAGGAGGTTTCAAACTTCCTTTATAACCTCCTTTAGCTTAGGAACCACTGGACCTCCCTAACCTAAAGGAGAGGAGAAAATGCTGCCCCACAATGCCTTGCGGCCGCCGCATTTGCCGTCACACAACAGTCGGCCGTTCACGGAAACAACCGATTATGAACGAGAAATGATATCATGAAAGTTACGGTGCTTACTAAGCTTTTCAAAACGTATGTGGTAAGTTGCCAAAGTGCTTTGTTTTGAACGTTCATCAGTATTATAATCAAAAAGAGAAATATGAACGTTAGTTTTTACTGAAATGATCAAATAAAGTCAACATTTCACAGTCTTTACTGAGCTGTGTGGGGTTTGTTCAACTTTTAAAAGATGTTTGAATGGTGATATACACAGTAGGGATGTTAAGATTCACCGATTCGCATCGGTGCACCGGCATAAACGTTCAAGATGCGAGTGCACCGGTTGAAAGAGTGCACATCGGCTACAGTTTGGGTTGAACTCGCGATGCATCGATTGTAGCGTCTTTGCATCGGTAAAAAAACGATTCATTAATATAATATCCCCTCATCTTGTCAGCACTCAGCAGAGACGATCTTTGATCTTTGCTTCGCCACTACGGAGGCCGAGAGTCTCAGTTATCAACACACATGGAAGTCGAGGAGAAAGAGAAACACAGCGCACCGAAAAATACCTACAAATCAAACGTTTGGCAACACTTCGAATTTTTCAAGAAAGACGGACAACTTGAAAACTCGCTCGCAAATTGTAAACGATGCCGTGCCGCTTTAAAGTACACAAGTAGTACGAGGAACTTAGCGACGCACATAGAGGCAGCATGGGGTCTGCGGCTGAAAAGAGAAACCTGAAAGTTAGACATATGAGTTCAATCACTCAGTGAGGTGTTCTGTCAGTGAGAGTGGTGTTTAGTTTACAACAGCCTGTGACTGCCAATAATAGTTTAAATGTCTTCCTTACTGTAAGCAGTTATGAAATACCTGTTTGTGAAAGGTTATTTTCTTTATTGTTCCTATAGAAACCACTGCTTTCTGCTCACTGGTGAGTTAGCCTATGAATGAGTGTTAAGCACATCAGGCTGGCAGCTGTATGTGCATTGCACTATGGTAGTTGTTATTTGCACATTGGTAATCCTGGGCATCCTTAAATTGTTTAACTGTGAGGTGTTATAAAATTGAACTGTACTCTGGAGACAGAGAACACTACTACACTTGTGAAAAGGCCAGTTTGTGAAAGGTCCAAGTGTTTGTTTTTGTTAAGGTAAAAAAGAAACAGCATGATGGGATGTGCAGTACTAGTAGAGAGAAGCAAATATGTGAAGCACTTTTTTGTTAATGTATGATTTGCTGCATATAAGGAATAAAACAAAATCCTCTGTCGTACCATATTGAATTGTATCATTATTTTGCATCGTGTTGAATCACATCGTATCGCCCCGTATCGCATAATGTTGAATCAAATCGTATCGAACCGTATCGCAACCAGGGTGAATCGTATCGTATCGCATCGCCTGGTGTTTCAAAGGTATCATTAATGTATCGTATCGTTGGTAGCGTATCGAGATGCGCATCGTATCGGCCTCAGTGATGGAGATGCACATCCCTAATACACAGGGATAGATGTTAAGGACTAACGTTTATAATAAATACATTTGTATTGATTTTAAGATCTTTTCATACAGTCATACGTATTGGGATCATTTGTATTAATGTGGACCGGAGGGAGAGGGTGACGAGCATAAGTTTCACTTTCCTTTTTTATTTCAATTCCAACTTTGGTCATGAAGAATATGTTTCTCTGTTGTCCCCGTTCATAAAGCATAAAACAACAGCATCAGAGCACGGTGCAGAGTCTCTAGATGAGTTTACAGTAGTCCCTCGTTCTTAGGCCCCGCTCACACGGGACCGTTTGCGTTTATGCACAGTATGCGTATTCAAAAAAGTCTTCCGTTCACATGCATTTGTTTCATTTAACGTGTCTGTTTAAACGAGGCCGCTGGAAACGCTGTAGTACATATGCTGGGACTGTAAGTGGCGCTGTAACTTCCGCCAAAATACACCAAAAGCCGCGAAGAAGAGCAGCCTGGAGCAGCCCCGCAGCAATGTTGCCATGGCTACCCTTCTGTTTAAGCCCTGAAACTGAAACTGAAACTGAAAGAAACTGAAAGAAACCGAATCTGTTGTTGCTGATGGTTGTGGTAGAGGAGCTGTATATTTTTGCACTAATATCTGTAGCATGGTCAGTAGCAGTAGCACTAGCAGTAGCTACTGACAGGAGGAAGTCAGTGTGTGTGGCGATTGCTGGTATTCAGCGGGATATAGTCATTTCCTCAGCATATGGATAAATGCAACGGGGAAGTTAACTGAAAGAAACCAAGAAGCACGTCTCTGTGGATATTGCATCGAGAGGACGGCTCAGAAAGAGAGATATTCTCTACAAACACCGGGTGAGATTCACCTTTGTCAATATAATGGATCAATGCATGAAATCTGACTCTGTTTATTTTGTTTAAGGAGTATATTGGGCGTTAACAATTCTGGTTTGCCTTTTATAATATTATTTCATTCAAGAACCCCTTGTGCGTTTAATTAACACAGCTATTTTTGATGGTTGCTACAGCAGTGAGCAGGAGAGGTGCTATTTTTTTTTTTTTCGCTATTTTTTCAGGAAATATTCGTATAGAGGTGATTACACGGACTCGGTTGACCCCCCAGAGCGTTTCGTTTGCAAATCTATCCACCTTGGGACCCGTTATCGTTTGTGGGGTCAGTTTCTATCGGCCTCGTGTAAATAATAGGGCTATACGCACGCGAAACTATGCAGATACAAGCAGTTTGCTCCTCGTGTAAACGGCGCCTTATTAAACATCCATGTTGTAGTCCGCTGTATAGAAAACTGTAGTTTCCATAGTTTCCCCACAGCAGCAGACGCACATTTATGACCTCCGCTGGCGCTTCATAAACATGGCGGATAGTGAAAGTGCAGTCGATTCTCTAAAGTACCGCAGTCTCTTCTCCTAAGTCCTTTTGAATTCTCCTATCCACTATCCCTTAACCCCGTGACGTTTCACTCAGAGGTTAAGGAATAGACGATAGGGTTAGAATTTAGGAGCTGATTTTTGGACTATTCGACCGCAACCCAGGTGCATGTTGCGAAAAAAATAGTTAAAAAGTTTTAAAAAACTAGAGCGTAGTTATTATATAATTTTAACTTGAAACGGGTCACGGGAGACCCGACACATCATAAGGGTTAACAGTTCAAATCCAATAAAAGTTACGTAAAGCGTGAGAAGAGGTAACAAAGTCAAAGCTTACCTGTTTATTAGTAACTGTTGTTGTTTTGTCTCGGTGGAAAATCACCTTCACATGACAGCTTCCCTCCGTGTCGTTGCTGAAAATGAAACTCAAAGTAACATTATGGCCCAATCCCAAACCACTCCCCTCGACCCTACCCCTCCGTGGCGGAGTGAACTCCGTCTGTAGCCACACTCGCAGCTCAACGAGGCTCCCTCCTGTCAGATGGAGGGAGTAAATACAGCGGCAAGCTTTGGGACAAACTCCCCTCTCTCCGGCAGAAACAGGAAATGCCGTAACTGTATGTAACAACGGTTTCAAATCAGCATCTCTTAGACAAAAAATGTAAATTAAGAACTCAAATAAAACTCCAAACATCTTTCATTGTGTTACTTTTTTGTAAAGCTCTTTTAGTTTTAAACCTGATGTTTATATGCTTCTTAGTTTTTGCAACAGTCTGTAAATATACACAACTTTATAATAAAATGCACACATTTACCTTTTTCTAGACTAAACACAGGTATGATCCTAAGTTAAAAAAATATGAGGGTTATCATGAGGTTGTTAACATCGCAATTTATCAGTGGATGTTTGCTGGAACTACTTGTAAACAGCGTGTTTCCTGACGGACACACACAGCGTGACTCCGGTCAGGTAGAGACCAGTCTCAAGTCAGCACCAATGCAGACTCGGGGTGTTTCTCAATCGCGAGTACGCTTGCTTGGTAGCACATGTCTGCCGAGCATCTTGCTTCAGAAGCGAGTCAAGAATACTTCCTGGCATTCGGAAAACGAAGTGTGGAACAGGCTAGCAAGTGTGCAGGTGTGCGTCATATGAGAGGCCCTCGCCTTACATCTTCCGCCACAGATTTGGGGAAATTGGTCCGTGCGCAAAGCATTGTGGGGATTTTAAGACCGCGAAGTCTACTCATGTGCAGACTCGATATTTCTCCAAACGGAGTACGCCGGGCTCGGTAGATTTCCAAGTATACTGGAGATTGGAACAGTACTTCGGCGGCACTCGATGACGTAGTATGCTTGAAATAGTGGCTCTGAAGCAGCTTTACTCGCGATTGAGAAACACCCTCGCTGTTTGAGGGCTTGATAGCCCACTCCCCCTTCACACCTCTCCACACTCGTTGGTTTGGAACAGCACTTAATGTGGCGGACCCTCCGCACGAACGCGCAAACGGAGGGATAGTGTGTAGGGGTAGGGTGTAGGGCGTGGTTTGGGATTGGGCCTAATTGTATAGTTTGACCCAGCGCCATATAGATAGAAGAGTTACGACAGCGGAAGTCCAAAATGCTTGATCGTCACGTGGTTCAGGGAGACTCAATAGTTCCCCGGAAGTTCGTGGCGGGACATATGAATGCATGATTACCGGAGATAGAACTACGATTTTTGGTAATAAGTAGTGAATAAAGGTCTTGATTTGCAATATTTATACAACATACCGATATGTGCATGTATTTACATCAATATGTTTTAAAAATAAAATAGAATCTGCTAATATTTATGGATAATATTAGGAATAGTGTGAACAACTAGTTTACTTGTTAACATATACATGTTAGGCTGTTGCCTTGGTTAAAGAGCCTGTTGCTGTTGTGTATTGCTTTGAATTATTTAAAACAAATATTATCTTCTTAAACAGGTATGGTAGTCAGGAGCATCACTTCCTAATGTTTATTGATATATTTAGAGGGAGGGGATGGTAAGGGATGCTTCAAAATTTAGATTAGATTCATTTCTACCATTTTTTTAATTCATGGTGGTTTCAGTAATCCCATGGTACTTGAGGACATAAGTAATCTAAATGACTAATGTACTCTTTATGCCTTTCAGAAAGGACAAGAGACCAACAGGTGACTATCAATGGACTAGCAGCAACATGATTATGACGTTAAAAGTGTTGTTTTAGGAACATCCATTGTAAATACATGGAATTCAATAAACATTGAATAGCATGTCATGCAGTTTGTCTGTGCCTTTTCCTCCGTGTTGTCCTGGCATATCGTCTCCACCATGGTTTGCTGTGCTGCCTGGGGATGCTCCACTCGCTCAGAGAAAGGAGTAAGAATCAGAATGTACGGCTTCCCCACTGACACAGAGAGGAGGAAAAAATGGCTAGCTTAAGTCAGCAGGAGCAATTTAACAATCAAAATAGACAGCCGCAACAAAATATGTGAGGTAATCATATTCAAACACTGTATTTGCACTTTTTCACAAAACGAAGACCACACCATTGGGAAGCTTAATGTTTGGTTTAATACAAATAACAGGGAAAGGCTTGAAGAACTCTGAGAGTTGAGACTCAGGGTGCAGGGTGAGGGTCTCAGTGCAGGTATTCAGGCTCGATTGAATCCCCCTCTGGTTCGTGGGCTGAAAGAGGGAGAAACAGACAGGAGAAAGGGTTATACACACCTATATAGCACATCTATTGGATGGGAAATTGCCTTGGGGAGATTAGGTGTGGTCTTTGTTTCCAACTGAAGTTATGGAACTTTATTATTTGTGAGTTTAACAAAGTATGACAAATGGCATCAGTAATGGATGTGATATGAATTTGTATAAAGTTGTCTCACATTCTTGGTCGTATTTTACGTACAGTATGTAATGAGTGTATACATGTCCAGTAAATCCTCCACCTGTAACATCACTGCCCCTCCACCTGCCATACAGTAGGTTACTAATATACACTAACAAGATTACTTATATAATACAGTGATAGAATACATGTTTAGTATGCTTACTTATATACAACAGTAGTATTAAATGTACCTTGTGTTTTCACTCTCACTTTGCCATCATTTCAAAATCAGCTGAGTTGCAACATAATACAGACAGGTAATAATCAACAGAATACACTAAAAACACTCACCCATAAATTACGTTTTTGTTTACTGTTTGGAAGTCTCAAATATGCACTCTAAATTAATATCAAATAGCTCTCTTCCTTATTATTGTGTAACGTTAACTTTATTATACTAGCTTGTAGGTCTACTCCAAAATGGAGATCGTAATTTCTCCACTTCCACTCATTACAATCACACGTGCCCCAATGTTATATTTAACTAATATTATATTCCTCCACCCCACAAAAAAATCACGTTTAGAAGCCCTTTTTCTCTAATTCCACAACGTTGGATGAAATAACATTAGGATAACGGATTAATAGCTGTTCATGGTTAACGTGTGTTGCTAACTTTATCCGGTATCCTAGCCTAATCTGTTATCTGTAAACGTTCCCTAAATCTACTGATTTAGGGATAATCCACTAACATCCTTTAATACACATGTTCATTTGACTCAGATGTGCTGATAATATCCGCAATATAAATCTTTAAACGTCTTCTTACCTTTAATAGTCCATCAAGAACGCTGCAACTCTACTGCGCTGCCAGCCACAGATCGTGGAGCCTCTCGAGTCAATAGTCCCCCGGAAGTCAGCGGCAAGCTAACTTCCGGGGAACTATTGACGGCTCCGCCATCGAGTAGTATGAAGCTGCAGCCTCGGAGGCTGCACTCTCAGGACCGCACTCTCAGGACCCTAGTTGTTTTGCAACATCGCCACCTAGTGAGCAGGAGACATGAATATGAACGACAACGCAGAGAGTGTGAGTAGTGTGAAGTGCTTTTAAAGTTTTATTTGTTTAACATTAATAACAATTCCGGTGTCTTGAAATGAAGTGTGATTAGCTAACATTAACTATGATAGTCTTAAGGCAATACATTGATTGATTGATTGAAAAGTTTATTAACAGCTTGTATATTGGGTACAGTACAGTACAGCTCAAAACATACAATTGTTAAGGGGATGCAGACCAGAGAAAGACTTTCGTCTTGTTTACATCAGGGTCCCCCATTTCCAATTCATCATATCATTTAAGACATATAAGACATATTTGACATACAGATGGCTTATTTACAATATACATACAGGTGGTTTTTTACATACAGATGGCTTATTTACAATTTTCATTTTAGATTTCGTTCTAATACATCCTAACCGGACATTTAAGACATACCAAGTCTACAGATATACAGTTAGTAACAGAGTCTAAAATGCGAGTATATACATAGATGGGGGGGGGGAAGCTGTCCATTGTACGACAGGTTGAGATTTGTACCATTACCGGGGCCAGTTTTGCAATGCTTTCCCCCGAAGGTGCTCTTTAAGAGAGGTTTTGAAGGTAAGTATAGTTTTACTTTCCTTTACAGTTGTGGGAAGAGCGTTCCACCTTGATGTGGCATAATTGCGAAACGTGTATTCCCCTTTTTTTGTGCCAAATCTGGGTTTTACATGATTTGTGGAGCTCCCTCTGGTGTTATGATCATGGTATTCCTTGACCTTTGGGAAGAATTTTGACATGTACATGGGTACCATAGAGGTGTAGTGGATCTTGTAGACCAGGCCCATTGCAAGTAGCTGTACTCTGTCGTCTACTCTAAGCCATCCTAGGTTGTCAAAGTGGGCAGAGGTGAGGTGGGTTCTAGATGAAAGGTCAAGCAGTAGTCTGACCAGTTTATTTTGCGATGTTTGAAGTTTATTTTTAGCGCCTTGGAGGTGCTATGGTACCATGACGTGCAAGCATAGTCATAGTACCCTTGAATGAGTGCTCCTGCCAGAGTTTTCAGGGTGTTTTTGTTTACCAGAGAGGAGATCCGGTATAGGAATCTAGTTCTTTGATTGACTTTTTTTATTACATTGGATGCCATTTTGTCACAGGAGAGGTTTGCCTCAAGAATAGATCCTAGGTATGTAATTTCCTTCTTACTTGTGACAATAATGTCACCCACTGCAACTGAGAAGTCGTCGGATTTGCTGAGATTATGTTTCGAACCGAAGAGAATGGACTCTGTTTTACCCAGGTGTAATGATAATTTATTATCGGCGAGCCAGGTGCAGATTCTGCCGAGCTCGGAGCTGAGGGTTTTTTCAACCTGCAATCTGCTCCTGTCAGAGACCAGCAGGGCTGAGTCGTCCGCGAACAGGAACAAGTTGCAGTCACATGCTGATGACATGTCATTTGCATAAATTAGGAACAGTAACGGACCTAATATGCTTCCTTGTGGAACACCACAGCTCACTGGGAGGGGGGGGGGAC